CTTTAGCCATGTTAGAACAATCACTTCATTGGTTTGTCAAAAAATTTAAATGGTACTATTGTGAATGTGTTGTAGTATGGTGAACAATCAAACAATTAAGAAAAAAATTTAAATAATCAAAAACACGAAACACAAGGATTTGTATGTAATTTAGTAGAATTCTACCTAGGTTATGATGATGGTTATTCTTCAATATACGAGAATTTCGATAAAGTTACAAATTATATATCCATATCACTTGAGAATCCTAATCTCAAAAATCACACAAACAAAAATATATATTGAAAATAATAAATATGTCCGAAGGTGGCTGGCGTTCTACTCCACCCATGAACCATTGAAATTTGGGTATTTTATTTAACAAACAAAGATGACAAAGGGAAGGAAAGGAAAATACGATATTTTGTTCTATAATCTATTCTACAGCTTAAACTGATTTAGATGAGATTGAAACTTCAAATAATTAGCGTGATAAATAACTAAATATCATGAAACGTTTAGATACATTCCAGAATTGAAAATTCTTTAGGTTTGGATTTCCGATGTGCCCTTTGATCAGAAATTGACTTTAAATTCCTATATATTATTCTATCTCAATCTCCATCCTGAATTCTAGAAAGCCCAAAAAATGTTTAACAAATAAGATAACACGATGAAGTTGTCCAAAAAAGATATCAGATTTGGATAGGTGCTAGGGTTTGTGATGGTGATGGTGATGTTGCAGTGATGACGATTAGGCCTAGCCTAAAAGTTGAACCTAAGAACACCCACCATGGTAGTTTAATATGGAATAAGTTGTTTATATATAGATAATGCAATTCTGGGTGGCAAGGCCTCGCCTGCACCCTCCTATGAGCACTCACAGACAATACATAAGATTCATCCAATCTCTATCAGGTGGTATATATGTTTGCTTGATGCTATGTAATGCGACATAATGAAAGCCAGTTTCCCATGATATATCAATCTTCAATCTTCTATCTCCAACCCAAAATATGAGAGAGAGAGAGAGAGAGCAATGACAGTGGTGGTGTAGAATGACGACCTATGGTGTCCGTTTCTCGTCTGTCAATTTTCCTGCTACTCGATTAGGGTTTTTCTGGGAAGTTGTTAAAAACCATTGGTCAAAGTATCACCGGCATAAGCAAAAAAAAATCAGAAGAAAAGAGTGAGAAAGTCTCCATTGTCACAGGTCCATGATAATGCAGGCCACAAATACCAACCAACCAGATTTCAAGCGTTCGCTGTCTGCTTAGGCCGGTCTACGTGTATATTTAAATAAAGAAAGCAATATTTAACGCACGAGGGATAAGACAGTCTTATTTTCTTGGTTAATTTTTAAATAACGTATTGCTTAAGTAAACCGACAAAAAACTTGCTACCCTTCAAGGTTCAACATTCATTTGAATATTTTGAGTGTTCAATTAGATGTCGAGTGGGTTAATTATGTGATAGAAAAACAGCGTGATTGTGCGGGTAATTTCTTGCACAATATTGAGATAATGGCACTGTTGATATTCGTGTGTACGATGAACAATTAATAAAAAATAATAATAGAAAAAGCATAAGAATTTACGTGATTTGATAATTTGTCTACGTCTATAATCCTAGAGTGAGTTCCTTGTTTTATTTTACACTGAATTAAGACTACAACTTAACTTATATATGTTACAACTTTAATTAAGGCATCCCGAAGGCACGTGTTACTCCATACCACAGGGGCCCCTACACCCTTGACCTATCTTTACTTATGCTTCGACAATTGACCTATTATCCTATTAACCGTATTGTAACCCTCTATACTTTGAATGTGAGCCACTTATCGAAGCAGACACTTTAATTGACACTCGAAAGTTGCTCTCGAGCTTGAGAATGACAAAGACCAGAGGATTACGAAGAAGGTTTAGAAAGGAGGCCGAAGGTGTCTTCGGCGATTTACCTTCGATGCTTAAGTCAGTCTCTAAAAAGAGAAAACGAGACAATATTCAATGCTGGATTGAGAGAGTGTACTGTCTGTTTTTGCTTAAGAGTGCTATTTATTTCTTCCGGGTGGACAAGTGCGCCTAACGAGGACATCCGTACAATCTTCTTTGGCGGGAGGGCTCTTGATTGGCTCAGAAGGGATGTTTCTTTGATCTCATTAGGAGGGTGGAATCTAGCAAGGCGCCCCTTTAACCTCGACACTTGATCTTTTACAGTTATGTCAATCTGTCATACATTAATGACATTAACCCCTCGACATCCAAACACTTGCCGATCATTAATACTCGTGTCAAGCATTCACTGCAAGATTTGACGTTAAGTAATACGCTCTGCAAGAGTAAATGTTCGGCATCACATCATGCGTTGAGGGATCAATGCTCTCTCTGTCCTTGCCCTCGGAGCATTAAATGCCTCTGACTCGCTTGTCGAACGCTCATGAAGAACATTAATTGCATCCTGAAAGACCTTTCTCATGATTGATCTCAGTGTACTATCCTGTTGGATCTGACAACATGGGATGATGGATCCACCCCATCTGACAATCGAACATAGTTCCTCGTAAGACATTCTTTCGTTTATTACCAGGTAGGCGTTCCCAAAGCAAAGCTAGCTGTTTCCAATATGCCAACTGATGTGGTCGGCGTATAAAGTTAATTATTTCTATGCCCCATCAACCTATTCTCTGTTGATATTCCAACCCGCTCGGTCTCAACAATCTTCGGTATGCACTGAGAAGATCCCTCGTCGGTGTTCATGATAGTGCTAGGTAAACCCTAGTGCCAGGGTTCATGGTAGCACCAAGGTCAGTGTTGCTCGATATGAAATTCTCAAAAGCCCTTGGTACCAAGGGGATCTTAGTGCTCATTTCCCTTGACAAAGTTTTGAGGCTGAGTATATCATATGTGTCAAATCATTACTTCCGCCATTATTGACAAAATATATCACGTGTCTACTTTTAATTTGTCTGACAGACCACGTTGCGTCAACGATGGTTAAAGCTAATTTTTTTTATCATTCTAGTGGCTCTAAAAACTTAATGAAATGTTGTTGAACAGATCAAGAGGATGACAAATAATTGATGAAATTAATAACCAAAAGGAAAAAAAAAAAAGCGAAAGAGGAAGAAGTGATAATGAAGGAGAGGGCGTAAAGTCAGTATAAACTTTAGCTATGGAGATTGAGATATTCATCTTGAATATGCGGTACGGTAGATGGCATGGGCAAGAAAACCCACCTTTCGGTGGCCATCCCATATGTCCACCTTCCTCTTCTCAAAGTGAATAAAAAAGTAACATATTAATTAGCTATTACAGAATCGAGAAATTATGAAAAATATTAAAGAATCGAGAGATTACGAAAATACTAGAGAATCGAGAAATTATGGGAAAAAAAGAAATTTTATTTTAAGGCTAGTTTTCCTTTGATTTCATCATTGAGGATGAACCACCATTTTTTAGAATCAAATCCAATGATATTATTATAAGGAAATGTTGCACATATTTGTAAATTCAATCCATACTTTAAATTTATAAATGTTGTACTTAATAATAATAAATTATTATACAAAATGAGACTCTAAAGAATAACATAAAAGATTGAGTTTAAAGTATGAGTCAATTTTATAATTAATGCAGAATATTGTCTGTCACTATTAATAAAGAAGGACTAGGGTCTGGTTCCTACTATAACAAGATTCATAAATATTAAAGATGTGCATTTAACAGTTTAAACTTTAAACACATATCATGTAAATTTTAAGTGATAATAGGGATCAATGAGTTACAAGTTCTTACATTTTGAGTTTGAATTTCGACAATTCTTTGAAACCAAATCATGAGAAATTTATTCTTTATAGATACTCTAGTTTTGACATAGATGATTTATCTTTAACCAAATTGAAGAAAGAACTAGTTGAAATACGTGTAAGTTGACTCAGACACCCCTAATGTTAAATCGAGAAAAAAAAAACCTATCATATATTGGCAAGCCTGAAAAAGTTACATAGGCAAAACATTAAAATGTATTTATAATTAAAATATTATTTAGATCAAATCTAAAGATTTAATCAATTGCAACTGTTGGATTAAAAATAATTTTCATATAATATTAAAACTCACAACTAATCGAATAATTATATTGAATTAGATTCCTTAATTAGATTTCAAAATTAAGCCTCTATGATATCGCTAATTTTAATTTACACACGTAAGTATAATGAGACCTGTAATTTATGAGTAATTGTTGAAATTTGAGGTTTTCTCCCGTAGGACGTTATTGGTAGTTAAAAAAAAAATGGTACAACAGTGTTGAACATTATAAATCAATGCTTTGCATGCATGCACACAAAAAATGTGTACCAAATTATTTATATTCATTGAATCAATAAATCTCATTACTGACCTAACTGACCGGAGATAATTTTGTACATATTCTGATGCATATAGTTTGGTCCAACATTATATTATGAGAAGTGAGAAACCCTAATATCTCTGGTGTTGTCCTCCACGTAAGGTCATATCGACCAGAAGATGAGCCCCACATGTTGAAGACGTGTATGGTTGAGATTACTACGACGTCTTTGTCAGACAAGACCACGTTCGAGTAACCCAAGGACGAATCAACGGTCACAATCGTCTGAACGGCCATTTCAAAACAACATAATCCAACGGTCACCGTCGAATCGGCGGTTGCCGCCCTACAGTACTTTCTTGCATCCATCGCCTAGTCTTCGGAAAACTCCATTCCTGCGGTAGCCGACTGCAACGGTTGTCGGTAAATTAGGAAGAAAATGATTTTCATATATAAAAAATCATCAGTTATTAAATTAATTATAAATTTTTAATTCAATAAATACATTGAATTAAGTTTAAATATTATTTTTGCTGGTAAAATATAAATTATGTAACAGATATTAGTATTAAAAAGGAAAAGGAAAATGCTAGCCGTTGCATTATTGGTCTATTTAAGAGACCTCGAGCTGGGAGACAACAGATTCATGAAGGTTGCATTCTCAAAACTGAATCAAACCCATCTGGGTTTCTAAGATCCGTTTCTATATCCATACTTAGGCATATGATTCTCATATCTCTCTCTCTCTCTCTCTCTCTCTCTCTCTCTCTCCCGTATTAACGAGAGAAGATTTTAGTTCTTGTTTGGAGTAATAAATATATCCTCGTGTTCTTTCCGTATGTATGAATTTGACAGTTTTGTTATCATCTTTTCGTATTAATTAGTTCTATATTTGCTTTTTTCACTGAGCTGTTGATCTAAGATCTGTAAATTTTCAGGCTATTGATCCGTGTTTATGTGAGATCATCGCCTTTTTATCTTTTCCTTCACTTTCTTGTTTGGTCTTGTTAGATCACTTTTCTTCAAGCTCTCTCTTGATCTTCTTTTAAACCAGATCAAGTATCCATGGAGGCAGTTTTGTTGCGTTCATCACCAGAGCATCAACCAACCTCTCCTTATAATTACAAGCAACACATGGGAAACTCAAGAAACAATCGTCCCTTCATTTCCCGATCTTCCGAGAACTACCCTCCTCCTCTTCCTCCAAACTTTCAAGGCGGTCTTTTGCTTCCGCCACCAGCTTTTCTCACCCACTCGTTTCCTCCTCCGTTTTCAGTTTTCAATCCACGGCAACAGCCACCTCTTCTTCCTCTTCCTCATCCAACCCCCAAACCATACCATACCAATAACTGTCTAACTCGAGGCCTCTCGTGCCCTCCGATCAACAGAAAAATCGACAACAACAGATCCAGAGACAAATCTCGAACACCCAAAAAATCAAAAGTATCCACAACCACAAGTCCCAAAAAGGAAGAGCCAAAACTCAAACACCAACATTCAAAATCGACAAAGGTGACAACGACGTTATCATCACCGGAGTGTTTCATTATCGAGTCGACGAACCGGTTGGGACCTGAGCCCAAGGATCTTCCCAAGGATGTTTCCAGGGTTTTGTCTTTGTCATCGTCATCATCTTCGGCTCGCACCATCGATACTACTGGCGATATCACTCTCACTACTACAGAACAGTTGGACAAGTTCTCAGATTCTACTGTGTTTACAATCTCTCCTCCGCCAAGCAGCTTGCCTTTGCCCACTTTTTGTCTAAGGCCAAAGCTCGGNTTTAGTTCTTGTTTGGAGTAATAAATATATCCTCGTGTTCTTTCCGTATGTATGAATTTGACAGTTTTGTTATCATCTTTTCGTATTAATTAGTTCTATATTTGCTTTTTTCACTGAGCTGTTGATCTAAGATCTGTAAATTTTCAGGCTATTGATCCGTGTTTATGTGAGATCATCGCCTTTTTATCTTTTCCTTCACTTTCTTGTTTGGTCTTGTTAGATCACTTTTCTTCAAGCTCTCTCTTGATCTTCTTTTAAACCAGATCAAGTATCCATGGAGGCAGTTTTGTTGCGTTCATCACCAGAGCATCAACCAACCTCTCCTTATAATTACAAGCAACACATGGGAAACTCAAGAAACAATCGTCCCTTCATTTCCCGATCTTCCGAGAACTACCCTCCTCCTCTTCCTCCAAACTTTCAAGGCGGTCTTTTGCTTCCGCCACCAGCTTTTCTCACCCACTCGTTTCCTCCTCCGTTTTCAGTTTTCAATCCACGGCAACAGCCACCTCTTCTTCCTCTTCCTCATCCAACCCCCAAACCATACCATACCAATAACTGTCTAACTCGAGGCCTCTCGTGCCCTCCGATCAACAGAAAAATCGACAACAACAGATCCAGAGACAAATCTCGAACACCCAAAAAATCAAAAGTATCCACAACCACAAGTCCCAAAAAGGAAGAGCCAAAACTCAAACACCAACATTCAAAATCGACAAAGGTGACAACGACGTTATCATCACCGGAGTGTTTCATTATCGAGTCGACGAACCGGTTGGGACCTGAGCCCAAGGATCTTCCCAAGGATGTTTCCAGGGTTTTGTCTTTGTCATCGTCATCATCTTCGGCTCGCACCATCGATACTACTGGCGATATCACTCTCACTACTACAGAACAGTTGGACAAGTTCTCAGATTCTACTGTGTTTACAATCTCTCCTCCGCCAAGCAGCTTGCCTTTGCCCACTTTTTGTCTAAGGCCAAAGCTCGGTTGCAATGCCGAAGCTGCAGGAGTTGACTCCGGGGCGACCGACAGTCTCCGTCGACTTCTCCGACTCCGTTGATTATTGAATATTAATCAACACTTACTATTAATTACTTGTTGGGTATCCGTAATATGTGAATAAAAGCATAAACAATGGTATGCTTTGTGATGGTGATACACATGTCTGTTATTTTTCTTTTCTTCTTTCTTCTTTTCATTATTGTGGTTTTCTGGTTTTATTGGCGTGTAGTTTGGCAGCACCGCCCTAGTTTTTTCAATGGGGGTGGACAAAGCTATGTGCGTGGTGTATTGGAGCTTTGGATAAGGAATAAGGACTAAGGAAGGAGGTTGATTAGGTTTTTCTTAAGAAAACCGTGTGTTCTTTTCCTGTTTTTCTTCAAGAATATGTGAACGATGATATATGTATTTTATCATCCGCTTGTAATTTCAGTAATGACTACGGTACGGTGGTTGATAAGGTTTTTCTTAAGAAACAGTGAGCTCTTTTCCTTTTTTTTTTTATTTTATTCGAGACTCATTTTGTATTTTAGTGAAACAACTCCCATGTAAATATGTAAGGAGTTATATATACCCTTTAAAAATTTTGTGGTTTATTTTTATAATTTTTGAAGATTATTTATAAGTTTTAAAAAATTATTTATAATCTTAAATGAACCAAAAAAGTTGTAAATGACCTATTAAAATTATAACTTGAACTATAAAGAGCTTTTTTTTTTTTTTTTTATCATAAATAAATTGAAATTTTAATATTTTAATTCATAAAATTTAAAATTACGATACCAAAATTTCAAAAACTATTGAAATCCCCTCTTACCGAAATAATCTTGAAGTTTCGTTGATCCAAATTCCCACGCATGGGTGTTGGGAGTGGAGGGAATATACCAACAATATATGATGCACAAATACAAATACAAAATATTGATAAAATACAATATAGATACGATGATATAATAAAATCTAAAAATGTAGAATATGAATACGACCAAGATATGATTATAATAAAATATATTTAATATTTAATATTTTTATTATTTTCAACTAATTTAATATTTATATATTTTGATAATTCTTTAAAATATAATAAGAAAAATTAATAATTCTTTTTAGTTTCAAAAAAATATATATCGTGTCGTTGTGGTATATTCTCAAAATGAAGTGATTAATTAAAAAAATCAAAACTAATATTTATTATTTACCTAGTATTTAAAAATAATTTTTGCTAAGATTATAACATATTAGCATTATTTTATACTTTTTTGACATGTAATTATAAATAATACTTTAAAAATACTCGTGTATCTTTGAAGTAATATGAATTTTTTGTTAATGTATTGTATGATAAGTGAATTCGAAAAGAGATGTTAAAAGTTTAACTGAAAAATTATATATGTTGCTCAATTATAAAAGTATTCGTGAAATATCCTAATATTTAATTATTATTGGATACGTAGAAAGTGTATCCAATACGTATTCTAAAATATCCAACGAGTATCGTATCCGATACGTATCCTAAAATATCCGACGAATATCGTATCCGATACGAGTACGTTAACCTCAATGAAGTATCCATCCTTCGTAGCCAACAATGATATGTTGACAAAAAAATCTTATCAAATTTTAATTTCAAGTTATTTGATATAATTTTTACCTTTAAATAAATAAAATCAATGATAAAGATTGTATCACATTACTTAAGATGAAAATTTTAATAAATAATTTATTAAGCATAATATTAATGATGTTATATAGACATATAAATCTATACTTTCCTTATATCACAATTTATAATTACCATTTCTTTCAAAATAAGACGTAATTACTTGTTCTGAGAAAATGCCGAGACCAACATACAACAAAAGGAGAATAAAACATGCCAGCTAAAAAGTTCTCGCAATTGTTTTGCAGTGTTTGATTGTTAACGTGATGAGTCAAGATAGAATGCCACATTAAGAAAGAAGAATAGTTACATACCCATGAAAAAATAGATAGCCAATTTTATAAATTTGTATAGCATTGTGAGGTGTTGGGGCTCCAACCAATCAACTCAGAAACCGAAAAAAAAAAAATGAAATGAAAAAAGGATAACAAAGAAACTGGCTTGCACATTTCAATTAATATTTAAAATCTCCGAATATGAAGTAACATGGACTCAATGCACGCATGTGATCATGGATTTAGGTTTTTTACGTGTAGTTACAACACAAATTTGAGTAACGAGCGTGGCCAACAGCGTAAACCCTGTCATAAACGAATAGAAGCTGGGAGAAAATGCGAGAGATCAGAGAAGAACTAATGTTCATACAATCAACAAGCATAAATATAAAAGTAGAGAATGCCATTTGGAGAAATCAAAGCTTGTTTGGTAGTCCGGATATACATAAGCAGGTTGACTTAGCCTTCTACACCCTTCATCATAAATAGAACATTGACAACACCACCGTCTCTCCCCCGCCCCCGCCCCCATTGGGGATCCTGGGGGGAAGGAAAAGGGAAGACTACGAAGATACATGCTAAGACAAGGCATTTGGATACAGCATGCTTCAAGTATTTTCACCTAGAAACAATACTGTAAAAATTGAAATATAGATCCTATTCCAACATGGAGATAAAACAGGCAGTGTCCAGAAATTCAGGAATTCTCAACTCTCTGAGTTCCGCAAGCAGGGCATCTATAAAATATAGTCTGTCCTTCGTCGGCAGATCTCATCTGTAAGAAGAAAGGGACAAGCATGTGAGGGTTTTTATAAAGTCAGATTAAAGGATATGTGCATAAAGTGCTAGGATGATTACCTGTCTAGTCTTATAATAGAGCCCCATTCTTGGGCAATTTTTACATTTTGCATTATAATCCTGTGGACCATAATTGAACACAGCTTAGTTTGAGCCATCAGAAAAGCAGCAAACAAGTAATTTAGTGTTTGTATATAATAACTTACAACTGATTCCAGTTCCTTTTCTTCATTATCATCCAATGAAGATATGCCCAGCTCTCTTCTGATATCCTGCACATTAGAAATGGACACAAGAAATTATGAGCTGGAACCACAACTGATAGAAACAATGAAAAAAACAGAGAAGGTACATTCTGATCACAGACTGAAACTCCAGGTGTTAATATGAAGATAAAAATTTGGATCCCAAAGAAGATTGAAAGCAAGGTAACTACAAATCCAAGGATGTAAATAATTTGGCATTTTTACATTTACTTGAACAGAAGGCCAGATAAACAGTTTCGTTGTCATCCTTCCATGATTGAACAACTAGGTATAGCCCTGATTGTCGCAGAGCTATGATTTTCTTAGTAAATTTTCAATTGAAGCAGGCATTGTAGGTGGAAACCTATTAAAAGGTTAGCAAGACCATATGCACCCTATTTTGTCTTTTACTCGCCGAAAAAAATAACAAAAACACCTATTCTGCCAAAACACTAGATTTTACAGCCCTAATATTACAGACTACACTGCGCATTACAAACAAAGAAAATAAGGAATTGACCTCATGTAATAATCCTTGAAGAAGTAGGAAGTTCAATTTGAGACCATTTGACACTACACTCAGTTCCCACCGAGCTACATTGAACTTGTAATACTCTTAATTTTCCCCTTTTTCTCTACTGATGTCAATGACTTACTGTTTGATTAAAAAACAGTAATGCTCATCCCCAATCTCCACCTGTATGCACATGTCACATGTTCTCAAATTTGCCAAAGATCATACGGTCATTCTCTCAAGATATCAGATGGCATCAATCCAGTAACTAGCCATAGCAACAGGGCAGTTTCAAGTGTGCCTAAGCATATGTCTCCAATAGGAGATTCAAGGAGGGGGGCTTACTCGTACTCTAATCGTTTTGTGTAACAAAATCAATTAGTGTTATATTTTTCATTTTTAAGCTACATTCACTGACTTCTGAACTACATTCACCGATAATTTTTCCAATGAGGTATATGTTGTTTCATTGCTCCTTCAATATATTAACAGCAGTAATAAAGAAAGTAAGATATGCGTTTTTCACCTCCAGCGACAAGAAATCCCCTCAAAATATAAAGTCCAACAATGTCCACTAGAGCTCTTTTTTTTTTTTTTTTGAAAGCTCTGAATTGAAAGATTGGGAAAAAAAAGGGGGGGGGGGGGTTCAAAACATGCAAATTCCAACTATTTGAACAATGCACTACTGATTTACAACTATACATGCAATTTCTGTTAAACCCCCCATCCCTGTAAAGCAACTACAGACCACAATCTAAAAGATGGGTGAGCCCGCACACAGCACAACTAACAATAAAAAGTCCAACAATGTTTGAAAGCACTAATCAGAGAGACTGGGAAAAAAAGGAGTGGTGGGTTAAAACATGCAAATCCCAACTGTTTGCGAAAGGCAAAGCTGAAAAAATAAATTTATGACTCTGGAATTTACAATAATATATGCAACGTCTGTTAACTCCCATCTGCGTAAAGGAACTACAGACAACAATCTAAAACATTGGTGAGCACACACACAGCCATGACCACTTCTATTCATAAAAGTAGAAAATATTAAACCCTTGACTGAAATAATACTTTGACATCCATAGGGAACTCATACGCAATGAATATGCTACCTACACGAGTTAGTCAAGTTCATAATATGCTGCTAAACCTCAGATACATGTTGTGGGTGGTACCTTCTCAGGGAAAAAAAAAAAAAAAGTTAACATACCTCACCACTGACAGTGTAACATGTTTCTCTTCCAGCAATCTCTGAAAATAATACTAGTAAGTTAGTAATTAAAATTATAGGACTATGAACAACCAATAATATTGCCTTCATAAGATAACAGGAGCATATAACTTTATTATGAGAAAACGGCCATAAAATTCAGAACTCTACTTCAAAAGAAAATGATAACCAAACAGCCGCCCATGCTCGCGAAACCAAGACCACCATTTCAACGTGAAAACAATAACAACTGGAACCAAGCAAGAGTTTGAATAATCCACATATTTCCCACATACAATATATGACACATCACTTCTTTTTATTTAATGTCAACTCATTGATCTAACATAGCTTCTATGCATAGTTTGGTTCACTAAATCCATGGATCCCGCAAACTCACAAGAAATATTCCACAATTTTGACAATGCTGTCTCATCTACAAACTTCTAACAGAACAGCATACAAAGAGAGCTAAATGGCATTGCATCTCTAATCCGACAAAAGACATAATCTAATTATCAACACACCAAGCGAATCCATAATTCTGATATCGTATTGGGAGTAGAATGGACACATTACATCGTCAAGTTCTTTATCGTTGAACTATAAAAATCGAAACAACAGATTTCAGCAAAAAAGTACAAGTATAGATGGCTGAAACCTTTCGCTCTTCGCTTGAATTTGCACAACGGGCATTCAGCATACTTGGTTGAATTGAATGATAGCATCGTCCCACACATTTCACAGAACATGAAATCTCGTTGATGGCAATACGCCATTGGAGACCCCACTATTCAAGGAAATCTTCTTCGAGTTGAAGCAAGTTCAAACATAATAAGAACACAATTGAAATAAATGAATTAAATTAACATTGCGTATGTAATGCAGAATACGTTACAGAGAGTTTCCAGAGACTTTTCTCCAAGAAAATACCAGAAGAAAAAGCCTAATCGAGCACTTCGAACGAGAGAGAGAGAGAGAGAGAGAGGGGTTAGGGTTTTAGATCTCAAAACATAAGACCAATGAGACAGGTGAGAAATCAGAATAATGGCGAGATGGGCTCGACCCAGGAACTAGTTTAGCCCAGTAGAGTTTATATAGTGGGCCTCAACTAGTGTCTCAATGGGCCAGCCTAGTACGCGATAGGAAGGCTTGCGTTTGGTAAGGTCTATGGGTGTGGTTATATTATGCCTATCCAGTTATTCGTATTAGGTCACACAAGCTCCGTGTATCGTGAGAAGGAGTTTAAAAGATTTAAGTTTTTTTTTAAATTATTCGTTTGGTAAATTAATGGATCCGATATGATACGATTAATAAATAAATTAGGTATATAAATAAAATTAATTAAAAAAAAAATACACGACACATTTTGTGACATAAATTTAATATAATACGATTCGTTAAATATAAATTAACTAGTTATTGTTTGTGCCTGAAGGTATAAAGTAATAAAAAATAGTAAACAATAAAAATATTTATATTCATATCAAAAATCAAATTACAACATATAGAGAAGAGATAAATAAATTTAAATATCGGTTTGTAGTGAGAGGTGGTGGACGGCAGTGGTGATGGAAGGAGACAGTGATAATTGTGGTGGATGACAATTACCGTGGTGGCAACGAAGGCGGCCACAACGGTGGTGGGGGCGACGATGGCAAGTAATGGTGGTGGGGGAGTGGGTGGTGGTGGCAATAGTGGCGGGCGGCGACAATGAAGGTGACAGTGACAGTGGTGGGTATAGTAGTCGTGTGGTTTTAAATAATTTTTTTTAAGAACTTATGAGAAATAATTTCTAAAAGTATTTTTAAAAAATTACTTCAAACACACTTTTAGGGGACCTATATTTCTTATTAAATTTAGGGTGCTAAAATTAGTCGTTAGATTAATTTTAATATAAAATTTAAAACGATCTCAACCGCGAATAGTAAAAGTCATTATTTTTACCTTTTATAATTTAAACTGTAAATTATTTTATTATATAGATAGACGAATAAATAAAATATTTTTTAACACCAACCATTAAAATTTGAGTAATGCTACATGAACTTAAAAATTAGACTCGATAATCTCAACCATTAATTTCACTATAGGTTCCAGCATTTATTAGCATTCATTATCTATTCAATAATTAAAATTATTAAGTTTATTTTTTTAAATCTATTTAACATTACTAGTAACAAAACTGATTTTATCCAACCCAATTGACACGCGTAGTCGTGAGCTGTGGCCTGTGCTGTGGGGTATGAGTTGAGAAAACGCCAACTCTTCTTCCAATTATTCCAATTTCGAAACAGCACTTTCTCTTTCCCGAGAAAATTACAGCTTAATCAACTACAATACCAAAACCAACGCAACCAGAAGCTTCTTCTCTCTCAGCTCTTCTCATCATCCCTTGCACTCTCTCAGGTAAACAATGCAACCATTACCAGCCGATTACATATCTAACCCTTATTACCAATACCCTCAAAACCCTAACCCTAATCCAACCGATAACCACCCTCTGCCACTACCGTCCTACGCCTCAGCCCCGCCATTCACCGCCAATTACCCTCCTTCCTCCTCCCCCGATTACTCTTCTTTTACCTCCACATATCCTCCCTATCCTCAAAATCCCGATCCTGTCCCTACTGCACCTTCCTATTCTCAAAACTCTAATTTACAACAGACCCTCTTCACTCCCCCTCCTCCACCACCACCACCACCCCAATCTCAACCGCCCTCTTTCCCTCAATTCGAATCCCATGGGCCGCCCTACCAACCTCCTGCCCACCAACAACCACCACCCTATTATCCACCGTATGATCAACATCACACGGCTGTCACTGCACCGAATTATACCTCTCCTTCCACAATTGCACCAAACCTCACTACTAATCCCAATTCCGGTTCACCATATTCTTCACTTTATTCGTCTCAATACAATCAATTAGTGTCATCAGTGCCACCTGCATATGAAAACCAATATGAAAATAATCTGAAGTTTGATCAGAGTGGGGGGTTTTCCGATGATTTACTGGCACAATATGGGAATTATGATCGGAGCAGGTCCGATTTGGGATCGGGCTTATACGGGGAGCGATATGAATCGGGGGAGCGATATGATTCCGGTGGGTATGGAAATGATGAGTATGGTGATGGGGTTTATGCTTATCAAGGGAGTAAGGTGGAGCCGTATGGAGCTCGGGGCACAGCTCCTAAGTCATCGACTTGGTCAGGTTTTGATGATTTCGGAAGGCCAATTGGTTTTTCTTCGGGGAAGGATCCGCCAACAGGTTCGACTACGAAGATTGTGAGGGCGGTTCCGAAGACTGACGCTCAGCAAGATGTGAAGAGTGGGATTCAGAAGTTTAGGGTCAAGCTGTTGCCGGATGGTGGGAACCACAGCACCATGGATGTCCTTTGCCAGGTTTGCAAGAAAAGTTTTACTTCTACTAATTTTGCCCTTGTTTTCGTGATTTATGCGTGAAGCTTTGAACTTCTGTAGTTTGTTCATTTACAGTGCTATGCCATTATTGCTTGTGTATGTCCCTTCTTAATCCTCCACAGAAAATTCGTGTAAGTTAGAGAAAGTCTACGTGGAATTCTTTACTGTAGGTGGTATTTTATCGATTACTGTGAGTTATCGGTCTAGAGAACAGTTTGGATCTTTTTTCTCTATACCAGTAGTAAACAGTCATTTAGGCAATTTTTAGGGTGTCTTGTTATCAAATAACGCACAGTTACACAACCATCTTTTAGAATGAGCCGATTACTGTGAATACGAAATGCTGCCTGATTTAATGGCATACAATTGGTTTCAATTTCACGACCTCAGTTTATTTGTTGGCATAGGGTGATGATGACTTCAACTTTCTTGTAAGGAATAAAATTTGGTAAAAATTGTGTGCAAAATATTTTGGGGGAAACCTCAATGGGTTTTATAAACAAGCTTGTTACTGTTGGTTCAACTATGTTTAGGGATAGGGGGGAGTGTTATGAAGGACTTTTCCTATATAGTATTTTTATGTCTTTTGTAACAGATTAGAGTGTAATGAGTAACTTTGTTGTAATTTCACCAATTTGTGAAGAAAATGCCTATGTTAAAGTTTTTAATTTTTTTTTTTTTGGCTTTCATCTTCTCCCGCATGACTTCTCTGTGTGCGCATCCTTGTTTGTGGTTTTCACTTTTTCTTGAATAACATGGATTTGATATATGATCTTTCAGATTGGCTTGGATGGGATTCGTATGCTTGATCCTAGTACTAGCCGGATATTGAGAATATATCCTCTTGACACAATATCGAGATGTGAAGTATGTTCCTTGGGTCTTTTGACTTTTATAGATTTTAAGCTTCTCTATCACTCTTACTTTCTTGCAGATATCATTGAAGTCCTTGATTTTATGCCACCTAGGTAACAGATTCCTCTACCTTCACTTGTTGGTCCAAAAGTTCTGTGGACGTTGAACCAAGACGGATTAGGCTGCAGTCAAATAGTTATACTACCAACACCATTTTGGATACTGTAACAGCTGCAACTGTACAGGTTAAAAATTCTAACGTGAATATTTCTCCATATGCATTTACCCCTTTCAAATTATGCCAGTGTTGTGTTCATTATATAAGAATATGAATTGCTCTCCTAAAATGGATAGTTTGTTTTTAGGAGTCATGTAAACGGTACAAGTTTTATACCATGGCCGTTTTCCATTATAATCCTACGCCATAGTTTCTCTTTCTTATTTCCCTTTTAGTGCAGGGTGAGGGTTTAAAAACAGTGGCGTAATTCAAATAGTATCTTCATCCTTACCTAAAATGGAATCGTATCAATCTGGAAAATAAGACAAAACCCACTTTATCGTGTCTTAGTTCATTGTTAGCCATACATATTGCACAGAGGAATGAGGGGCTTGTTAGTACTGGTTTGGTTTGAAATTAAGGGTCCTTCTGGGTATGTCCTTTACTTCTAAAAAAGTGTTCTCCTTGATATTTTACCCATGGGCCTACCTGTATTCCCACATGCTCTCGAGTCTTACATTGGATATTGACTTTGTTGTTCATTTCAATGATGTTTGTTCATGCACCTTGTGACATATTTTATATGTCAGTATAATTGGTTGGTGAGATGGTAATCTTTTACTATACTCAGTGTTATTTAAGGCGTAAAGCGAACCGAAGCGACCAAGGCTCCTAACGCCTAGGCGAGAAGCGAGAAGCGAAGCGACACGCTTTACCGAAGCAAAGCGAACAGTTAAAAAAAATATATATTTTAGTTTAGTTACTTCTAAACAATCTAAGTTCTAATTTTATATATTCTAAATATTTAAATGCAAGTAAAACCATAAACATTTAAATTAAAACAAACACTAATAATATCTCAAATCTTAATAACAGTCATAACTTAAACATTTAAATTCAAACAAATACTAACAATTGTATACATTTTCATATTGACAGGGTAGGACAACAAAAGAAGCAGAATCAGGACAACAGCAGAATTAACAACAAAAAAAGAAGAAGCAGAATGAGGATAAAAAAAAACAAAAGCAACACAGGACAGCAAAACCGAAGCAGCAACAGAATCAACAAAAAAAATAGAAGCAGAATGAGCTAAAAAAAAAAAAAACAGAAGCACAATGATCATGACAGGAGTAGAATCAATTGTAAACAATTTCATATGTAATTATATACTGAATAAAAAAAGCAGAACAGAGACATATTTCACATGTACTAAAATAATTAAACATGGTATAAGCATAAACCACTTTTTGGTACCATTTGTATATATATAAGAAAAGGGAAAAGTATAACCAAGACATATCAGAGACACTTCTTTGTAGAATAATCTATTATTTACCCTCATTCCTAATACTCCTACTTCTTTTTTTTATCATAATTGTCATTCAGTCGCCGGACTCTCACATCCCACAAATATTATAAATAAATTCAGCAACACAAGAAAAAAAAGGAATGTGTTTTGTTCGAAACATTGTTTATTAGGAAAAAAAAAAAATAGACCAGCAATAGTCTTAAAAAAAAGTCATTAGTGATTAAAAAATAAAAGAGACTACTAACCTGTAATCAGGGAAAAAAAAAAAAAGTGAAGCAGAATTGCCTTTTATAATAAAGCGTTCGCTTTTTCGCTTTTT